CTACGGGAATTCTGAAGACGGCCTCCAGTTTGCCGCTGCCTGAGAGACGATCTGCCCCGTTAGAGGACCTAGGCCCGGCCTCTGCCTCTGGATGGATGGCGGATTCACTCACCCGGCTGATTTATTCGCAGCCTTCCGTGTGCAGTCATTTGTTGGGCACGGGTATGAGGATGGATTAGGGTTTAGGCAGAGTGAGTGGTAGAGTGGCACACAGTACTCATTTCTCCGGGGGTGGTGTAACCTGTGAGGATTTGATGGCTGGCTTATAATACCCATGAAACTGTGGAAGACGGAAGAAAACGAGCAGACGTGAATAGCCCCATTTCACAGGGACAGGTGCACACACAAAGGCCACACAGCTGTGCCAGCGTACACCACTGCCTCTCATCTTCTCTTGTCTCAGGCATACTGAATTTTGGTTTCAGCACCTGGGAACTTTGGATGTCTTACTCTTTGAGAGGCGACTAGAAAACACAAGCCAATTTCCTCCAAGTCGCACCTTCATTTACAGGAAGCCGAGGGCCAGGGATCATTTCGGGGCCGGTTCTTACGGTAAAGGGTGTCAGCAAGAGCTGGAGCTCATTTATTGATGGTTTTTAATAGCGTCTTTCACAGCCAGAGCCTCAGCGTGAAACCAGCCTCAGTGGTTCCCTTAGGGACGGCTGTGGAAGACTGGTCATTTGAATACTGACCACAGACCTTAGCGACCGTTCCCTGGGCTCCCACCAATGTGTCCTTTGCAGATCAGCACCATCTATTTACAGCGGAAGCAAACGTGAGGCTCTCCAGCACATTTCTAAAGGGATGAGTGACCCATTTACATGGTAAAGCCCCAGTGTGGCTTCCCTCCTGACGAGGGCTTCTCCGGTGCTGAAATCACCTTAATTAGGGAACAAACCCATATGACAATTGAGACTCTGGGCTCCAGAATCAAGCTGCTCCTCTACTTACTGGCCTTAACCGCGACCAAAATCCCAAACTCAGTCTTATTTGTTTTTAAAAATCTTTGTGTGTGCGGAAGTGGTGGTGGTGGGACTACGATGCGTGTGAGTACGTGTATGATATGTGTGAGTGTACGCAAGGATGTGAGCCATGGCTCAAGAATGGAAGCCAGAGGATCATTTCCAACCTTGGTCCTTGCCTTCCTCCTTTGTTTTTTTCCTGTTTTTCAAAATTTTGCAAGGATGAAGGAGTTTTCATTACAACATTTTCATGTGTACGTCTGTGTTTGTATGTATGTATGTGTGCAGGTATGTGTGTATATACTTGCACACACACACAGACACACACACACACCCAATCTTTTTTCTTCTTTTTTCCCTTTTCATATCCTTAATTACTTCCCTCTTTCCTTTCACACATTTAATTTTTCACAGTGTCTGACATGGAGTCTCTTCTTCCCCGCTCGGCACATCAGGCTAGCTGGCTCTTGTGCTTCCTGGACCCTCCCATGTGTCTCCCATCTCACTGTAGAGTGCCGGGATTACAGGGCGCGCTAGCACAACCAGCTTTTTCATGGGTTCTGGGGACCCAAACTTGGGTCCTGAGGCTTGCATGCCAATCACTTTATTCAGTGAGCCATCACCCCAGCCAGAGACCCAATTTTCTCATCTGGATAAAGGGTATGATAAGCCTAGAGTTTGAGTATAGGTTAACTAAGGTGATGATGACAGCAGGACCATTTGAGAAATACTAAGTTTATATTTTTCTTGATGTTTAGTTCAAGTCCTTTCACACACACATATGGAAGGACATATACACACATACATGCACACATACACACATATATCTGTATATGTACGGAAAGACACACACACACACATATATATGGAAGGACATATATACACATGCATACATACACGCATACACTACACACATATGGGGAGAGAAAGAAAAGTTAAATATTTATTATCCAATTACTAATGCTTTCATTTTCATCATATTTTTGACTACTTTAGAACAAACGTTTCCAGGAGTGTTTTTAAGATTTGCAAGAGTTTTTTGTTTGTTTGTTTGCTTGCTTGCTTTTTTTGTTTGTTTGTTTTGTTTTGTTTTAAACCGACAGACTCAAGGCCCTTAAGCATGGCTGAGTCTGTAGGAATGCAGTCTGGCTGTTGAGTGTGATGATTCTTTTCAACAAGAGAAAAATGAGCCACAAAATGTCCCTCTCCAAAGTGCTCCAATTGGATCTGCTGTTTCTGACTGGAGATCCCAGAAAGACCTGAATTTTCTTCAGTGTCAGGAAGGGGAAAGCATTGTTACCATCATCATCATCACCATCTGTTGGAGACATAGTGTCCTGCAGCCCAGGCTGGGTTCGAACAGGATCACCTGGAACTTCAGGTCTTCCTGCTGTCTCCTCCAAGGTGCTGGGAGTGCAGGCGTGTGCTATCACAGTTGGCTTTATCCGGTGCTGAGGTTGGAATCCAGAGCTTTGTGCATGTGAGGCAGGCATTCCACCAACCGAGCTACACCCCCAGTCCTGGAAAGCATTATTTTTAGAGAAATTAAAATTAAAAAGCAAGTGCTTTTTGTGCCGACAAGAGGGCTGGACCTAAATCAGCGAAATCAGTTCTTTTTCTTCTTTCCTCCATTTACCTCACTGCAGAGTGACTGGGTTGAAGTCCAAGAGGGAGGATGCCGGCCTGTCTGACTCATTTACTCCACAGCGTCAGCCTTTGTTGAGGAGGAGGACTTGGCAGTTGTCGGCTTTGACACTAACGCGGAAGATGTGCCCCGGCTCAATCTGTTCCTGTGGCTCCCTTTGTTACCATCCTCTTCCACCCAGAAGGGACAGGGATTGAGAAGTGGCCCTGTGCCCTAGCCCCTGCCACAGTCTTTTTATCGCGTGTTGGGGATATGGTGCTGTAGTTTATACACCAAAAATATGTCTTTAAATTTAGTGAACTGTGAAGTTAGGGACTCATCAGATGGAAAGATTTCTCTGATTTTGCAGCCTTGAAGGGGAGGGGGGCAAATCACACTGTGCTCTTTCAAAAGCCCAGCGGGGGTTGTTTGTTTTTATTTTTATTTAAAGTGTTTTACACACACACACACACACACACACACACACACACACACAAACTGAAGGTTTTTTCAGTTTTACCTTGTTTTGGATGAAGACATTGTTTCCACGTAGGCATCAGCCACCTCTTGTTCTTAGACTCTTTCTGTCCCCTCTTCTGTGATCCCTGAGCCTTGGGAGGAGGCAGTCTGGTACAGATGTTCCATCTAGGGCTGAGCATTCCCAAGCCTCTTCTCTGCGTCTTTACCAGTTGCGGGTCTCTGTGTTTATCATCATCTACTGCAGATAGAAGCTTCTCTGATGAGCATGAGAGACACATTTATCTCTAGTTTTAATGGCAAGTCATCAGGAATTGCTTTACTACCACGTTCATTTAGCAGAATCATAGTAGAAGGTTCTGCCCTGGCTCTCATGACCTGTCTAAACATAGTTTTTTGCCTGACAATAGTGCCAGGAATGGATTTCATCTAGTGGAGCAAGACTTCAATCCAATCAGAGAGGTCTTTAAGGTAAGGGTAAAGTATTATCATGTTGAGCTTTATATGGGGGTTCACACTTGTCATTTCCGTACTCATGTGATCAAGAGAAGGATTATAAGAAGTTCAAGACCAGCCTGGGCTATATAGTGAGTTCCAGGCTTGCTCCACTCCAAGATCAACTCACCATTACTTCAAGACTTTCTGGAATTCAGGAGTTGTGCCATGATACTCGTGGAGCCTGCCCAATTGCTCTATCTTCTAGGTATAGAAAAGCTTCTGGGGCAAATGCTCCACCCACCCCAGGTCTGGGCTCAGTGATTGCTTTGGGAGGCAGGAGGTAGATGGTTTAGTGCCCTTCTATGGGGGCATAGGCTGTTGGCTGCAGACCCCTTGCTCCCTCTGTTTAGGGTACAGGTTTGGGGACTTTAATGTTTACTATGCCAGCTGGGCATTTTCCCTGCAGGCTCAGTTTCTGAGGCTGCAGATCACTTCCCTCAACCTCATAGGTCCCACGGTAACCGACTTCCTCAGGATGCTCTGGCCTGTGAGAGGTGGCTGTTGTGTTCAAGCCTCATGGCTGCTTTGTTTAGTCATATGACTTTGGATCAGATCATAAGCCTCTAGAACTATTTCCTTGAGTGTAAAATGAGGAGAGTGCAGACCGGAAGGGGAGGACTAGCAGAGCCACACACAGATGGCTGGCCTTCTCTGAAGCAGATGAAGACAGGCCAAGGGCAGAGTCGAGGCAGGTGAGCCGGGCCACAGTGGTACTGGCTCTTCCTGAAGTCCAAGCCTTCCAACCCCAGGGCAGAGTGCCTCAGCCTTGATGCTCTCTCTCTGCCCCTCCTTCCTCTTTCCCTCTCTCCCTCCCCACCCCCCAGGTCTGACTTGTCCTCCTCTTCTCTACCTCCTCCTCTCCCCTGTGTTTCTCAGTGCTGGGGATCAAATTCAATGTCTTGCCCATGCTAAATAAGGGCTCTACCCATCCCTACATCCCCAGCCCTCGCCCTTCATTTGTTTTGATGCTGTGTCTGTATGTCCAACACTGGAAAGTCAGATTGCTGACAATTGAGTTTTGTCCCCTGATTTGCAATACCCTTGTCAGCAATACCCTTCATGGCCAGCACCTTGGGCAGCCTGGCTTTGCCATACCCTTGGCACTCTGGCATCTTCTGATTGTGGTCTATGTGTATGATTTTGAGTTTGTCTTGTTCTTCTAGTCTAGGTACCATCATCTCTCTCAGCCTCTACTCCCGGTACCCTTCTCAGCAGGGAAACATTATTGTTCTATGACCTTGACCTTGGGACACTTAGGTGGCCTCGCATCTCATCTTTAAAACACCAGCAACAACCCCTTTCCTTTCTCGTTGGTTGGTGATGGAGAGGAACACAGAGTTCCAGCCTAAAGTAAACAAATATTGCTCAAAAACTCACTGAATGAGTGTTATAGAAATTACCTTATGAATTTCAACCAGAATGGATCTTTTAGAGATGAGTAGGACTTGGGTAAATTTATAAAAGCAGAAGGCAGGAGGTATGGGTGAGGCTCACTGGTAGAGTAAATGCTGAGTGTGTTCAAGGCCCCTGGAGTCAGACCCCAGCACCAAACAGCCACACAGAATTCTGCATGCAGGTAGAGTCAATCCACCAATGACTCCACATTCCACACCTTTGTGGTATGTTCATGTTCCACCGCCTCTGCTGAGCCCTATGCAGGGGTCCTTTATGGGGACCCGGGAGCTGGGACTCACACCCATGAAGTTCAGCCTTCATGGCCTCCATAGTGTGAAGATATGTGATGAGGGGCACAGCCAGTCTGGCAGCCGCCTGCTTTGCCGAAGGATGAGGGTTGTTCCAGTGCAGAGTCGTGCTCTGTGCATTGAGGTCTGGTGTGCACACGGCTTCTGTCATTCTCCCCAGCAGGTTCGGAGAGGGCTGCTATCTCCATTTCTAGGTGGGGAAGTGGAGACTTTCAGATGGTGGCTCGACTCGAGCACACAGTGAGAAAGGATGGCAGTAAGAGAGCGTCCTCTCCGTTACTCCAGGACCTGTCAACAAACTGAGAAGCCTGCCTCGAAAAATCAAAGAGAACCAGGATGCCATTACTGGGGCCCAAGGTGACCACAGTTGCCACTGGAAGAATAAATACCTTGAATCAGATCTAGGGTAGCAAGGACTGACTTGAGCCATGATGGAGGGAGGCCTGCTAGGGGCAGGAGGAGTTGTGAGTCAGCCCAAGGGCCGTCCTTCAGTAAAGAGGTACCTGGTGTATCCTCAGGTGCAGAGAGTCCTGCAGCTCAGGACTAGGATGAAGCAATGGTGAGGAGGTGGCTGGGCTCCTGTGCCTGGCTGGCTTGCATGCTACCCTAGACCCTGTCTGCATGGTGGAAAGCCCCCCATCCTACCCAGGGGCACAGAGAAAAGGCTGCCCTTTCCCAAACTCTGTGTGCTTTTCCCAGGGGCCATTGTTCCTGGTTGCCAGGAAACCAGGGCCTTCAGGTGTCACCCTGGAGACAGGGGCCTGGGTATTTGGGTTTGGGTCAGGCACAATAATGCCTGTAGAATGAGACGGCATCCCCGGGACCTCCTCAGTCATTTGTCACACAACTGTGGTTCCAATGACCGTGTGGACCCGGGGGATTGAGGGGGATGGTGGGCCGAGGGGCACGAGATAGGGCTGGCTAATGGTCCTCCCCCTGGAGTAGAGCAAAGATACCTCTTAGGAAACCGGAAGTGAGACCGCCCCAGTGTCTGGGCATCAGATGCCTGGATCTGACCAAAATTTCAGAATGGCCAACTGGAGATTAGGGCCAAAGGTTTTCTGTCCAAGGCAGTGAGGTTCCAGGAAGAATTCAGCCACTCCCTGAGAGTCTTCACAGCTGGCCAGACAGTCCAAGGGCATAGTCAGAGTCAAAAAACACTAATTTGACTGTAACAAGGATGATGGCAAATCAGAGTCACCTGGGGACTGAGCAATGAGGAAGGGGTTCAGGAAACCCGGGCTGGTCCTGGGGGGTCACATCCGGAGCCTTCCTTCTCGGCTTCCAGCACAGTGCCATATATGTAAGACTGTCAGCTTGTAGACCCATGTCATCTGTTTGTAAGATAGCTCTCCCCACTCTCACTTTGTTTTAGAATTTTTAGATCATGATAACATATGCATAACATAAAGTAAAATTCACCAGCTTAGCCATTTTAAATATACAGTGCTGCGGTGTTACGTGTCTTCACATTGCTACGCCACCAATCTCCAGGATTTTTTCACTTCATAAAACTGGAACTTCACACCCATCAGGCGGCAACTCCCCCCCGCCCAGTCCCTGACAACAGCTGTCTGTAACTTCACTACTTTGGGATCACAGATGAATGGAATCAAGTAGTATCCCTCCATTCCTCCATCCCTCTCTCCCTCCCTCCATCCCTCCTTCCCTCTTTCCCTCCTTTCCTCCTTCCATCCATTCCTCCATCCCTCCATCCCTCCCTCTCTCCCTCCCTCCATCCCTCCTTCCCTCTTTCCCTCCTTTCCTCCTTCCATCCATTCCTCCATCCCTCCATCCCTCCCTCTCTCCCTCCCTCCATCCCTCCTTCCCTCTTTCCCTCCTTTCCTCCTTCCATCCATTCCTCCATCCCTCCATCCCTCCCTC